CAGACATGCCAACTGTGCCAATAATTTTGTTCGTCACTGTATGTAGATACGTAAGTGACGGAAGTTTGTCTGGGTACAAACTGCTATGATTGATGATAAGGTCCTTAACGATATTACTACCATCAAGTTGACCTTGACATGCGCTACTTGCAAAATAACCCAAAAGGATAATTCTGTAATAGTATTTCTGTACCTGGGTGAGGGCGGTTCCAAAGACGGGTGATGCCATTCGGCTTTCATTCCGCACTAGCTCCCCTTCCAGCGGGTACTGGTTAGAGTCATCGGCCCACACACGGGACTACACGTGTTCACGTACCTTGATGAGCAAGACGAGAAGAACATTTGGACCCGTTGCGTGAAGCGTGTCTACCGGTGAATCAAAATAAGAGCGAGTTTTTCCGCAAATATGTACGCTACCTAGGGTATCTGGTGACAAAGAAGGTTTCGGCCATAGGAAGGTTTAGAAGTGGCAGCAGAAAGCATTCGAACTGATGGAGGCCCCCGTATTGTCCCGACTGCAGACGGACGCCAGAGAATACGGCTTGGACTCGGAGTTGACGCATAATATAGACGGTCAGGAACAAGCGATTTGCTACATCAGCTGAAAACTGCATAGGACTAATTTGAATTACAGTGCCACCAAAAAGGAGTGTCTGGCCATCGACCACTTGGCCTTGCGTTGCTTAAGTTCTATCGAGAGCCCGTTAACCCCATCGAGCACTGGACCTGGAGTAAATCCGAATTCTGCCAACTGGTCCCCACCTGGTACATGGAAACGGAAAACATAGAAAAGCATCTTGGAGTGCAGAGAGTTGGTGTCGTCCTCAATGTGCAAGTTTTACAGTACATGAGGCGTCTACGAACCCGCGCAAATATACTAGCAAGGCGTCTGCTGAAACGAGCTAGAGAGCCCACACCCTATTGACCTGGCCAACAGATTTATATAAATTATACATGTAAAATTGTCATTAAGACTAAACTCCTCGTTTAAGTTGTATTTGTATTTAGCTATAAGTCAAATTTAAGCTGTTCAAATAACACTATGATTAAAACAAGAGAGAACGCTACAGTCGAGCAAGCCCGATAGTGTAATACCCTGTACCGAGGTAAACTTTCGACACTGAGGTATATGCGCCCATAGCAGCAGCAAAAAGAGGAAGAAGAAGAGCGAACTTGTAGCTGCAGTTTGGGAGGGTTGTACTGGCCAGAATTTGCTTCGCTAATAACTTTTCTTAGAATTGACCGAATTAGATAAAATTTTAAACAACAGTAGATAATTATATATAAATTATGTGTGCAAAGTTTGGTAGGTAGCGTTTGAAATTCTGTAGCGGGGAAAGGATGGAAAATTAAAAAATAAAATAAACTCGTCTTTGCACGGACCTAGGAGAATCTGGAAACCAACTTTGGTTATTCTAGCATTTATAGTTTCTGAGATCCTTGCGTTCATCCAGACGGACAGACGGACGGACATATCTAGATCGATTTCTCCCGTCATGCTGGATCAGAATATATATACTTTATGGGGTCGGAGATGCTTCCTTCTGCATGTTACATACTTCGCACAAACCTAATATACCCTTTTTACCCTACGGGTACAGGGTATAAAAAAATCGTACTGCGTACACACATAAGATATCTCTATCTTTTATAGACTATAAGTTATAGTCTTTGAGATTCTGGTGTTCATAGGGAGGGACAGACAGGTACACAGGGCTAGATCTACTGATCAGGAATATATGTACTTTGTTGCTGTTACATTCTTGTATATTTCATACACAGACCTTAAAAGGTACTTCAATGAAGAAAATGGAACTGAGCTCAACCCGATGTCCTATTGCAATGACCAGCTGAAACCCGCGAACCTCAACTCAATGCTCAAAAAATATAGTATCAGAACAACATTTGTAATCCACCAGATGTTCCAATGCACCTAAAAAATATTATCATTACCTAGCACATATCCTGGTCCATTAAAAATTGCAAGCCCTTTTTAAACTCTTGAACCAGACGGCAATAATCCAATATTCTCTAAAACAGATATTGTCTGCGCTCCAACAAACGCTTAACGAGTGCGATAAAGGAGTTGAACCTTGAGTTCTCAGGCCCATCAGACTATCTTTGTTTCTACTAAAGACTCTAAACAGCCTAATACAAACAATCCATAGAGACAGCCAGCTGCCAAATGTTCAGCATACATACTGAAGAGACAGCTTAGTCTCAAAAATGGAAAGTTTAGTTCTTATTCTATTCTTAGCTACGGATTTAGAAATAACTTTGTGTCGAATGATCCCTTGTTCATTTCATTAGACAATTTCCCACCAACTCTATGACTGTTGTCGGTTCGCAAGCTGCTATGGCTTCTGAAATAAGAAAACCATGGAGTCGTAGGATACGCGGATGACGGGGCCATAATGTGCAGCACACATAAGGCAACCTATTGCAGGACTATAACTTTTGATGTAGGTGTATGCTTGTGTACATGTAGTAAATCCTATAAAAATGGACCAAGTACGTTTTACAAGAAAGTACCAATTTCGAAACTCCTACCGTTCAAACTAAATGAAGTCAATCGCAAGCCAATTTTTTGGAAGTAATTCTGGACGGGAACCTGTACTGGAATGATAATGTCATGGAGCGAGTTACGAAAACCATTAGGCATGGGAATTTTTTCCAAGTTTGGTTATTGAGGTGCATTTCACTCTATTAGGCCATAAAAATCATCTTTGAAAAGATCTAAACGCTAAATCTAGCTGCTCCAAGAATTTCTTAAAACTGCAGCTGATAAGCTGCGTATCATTGTCCGTGATTGATAAGATACGCCTCCGAAATGACTTCTGCAGCGATGTGATGCCAAATACCAACATCGTGGTTGCACATGGTTGTCTCTTTCGACTATCAGTGTTCCTTGCGCTATGTTTTGGTAAGTCCCGCCAGCTAGACACACAAGCAGAGTGCCGGTCAGATTAGTGCGTGGGTCCTTGCTTAATTTTCAGCAAGATTTACTCGTAACTCTCTTGTTGTATATGTTCTTGTAGTGCTCCCGATAAAAAATGTAGTGCCAACAGCTGCTCTAGATTATCGTTCTAAGGGATCTGTGATAAGAGTAAAATAGTATCCCTCCAAATAGGGCTTCATTTTCCGAATCGTCCATATTGTGGCCATGCACACGAAGATGGTGTCCTATCGAGTGGATGATCACATTTTCGTCGTCCTCGAACGTCTGGATAACCAAAGCAGCTAGCCCACATAATTTAGTAGCCAATTTGACGTTAACTGCAGCTGTGGCGTCTCATCCCAGTTCCATTGGACTTATTCTCCAACAGACCCCTTCGAGTGTGAACAATACTTAGTCGAAGACTCCTAGGAACTGGCGGCTTCACGTTAGTCGCCCGCTTCAGCTCCGCAATGACACTAACTAATCCCTCCAAAACCGAGCTTGTACTTTTCACACCAAACTACAACATTTCGGAACTTATTGCACCAACGATAAACGGAGTGGGTTTAACTTTCAGCAACAATGCTAAATACTTGGGAGTTATCCTGGACAGAAAACTGTTCTGGCAAGAAAACATTAGCGAATGGGTGAAGAAGGCCACTAATGCCCTTTGCACGTGTAAAAAATAATTACATCAGGTGGGGATTCTCACTGGATATATCGGGCGATAGTGCGACTCATACTACTGTATGGAATCATAGTATGGTGGTCGGCACTAAGTAAAACTAGCCTTCTTTTGATGCTCAGCAGAGTACAGAGTTCGGCGCAGCTTTGCATCAGTGGTGTCCTTCGTACCACCTTAAATGATACACTTAACGTAATTCTGCATATCCTGTCCCTCGACGCTATTGGACAGGAAATGACCACTAATACAGCTCTGAGGCTTAGCATGCAAAAATACTCCATCTTCACCCGGGGGTTCCGACCCATACCACCATCACACGCCCGTGTTTAATTGCCAGGAACTACACGGTTAGTATACCTGCTCGTCTGTAGTGGGAGCACCTCCCCCACTTAACAAGATGCGCCATCAATGTAATCACTGACAGCTCGAAACTCGCAGGGTGCGTCGGAGGGGGAATCTTCTCCCCAGACCTGTGTCTGAGACTCTCCTTCCGCCTGCCAGATCACTGTAGTGTCTGGCAGGCGAGATGGCCCAGCATGTCTGTACAGTCCTCATATGGGTAACGGGGCACCGGAATATAGAGGGAAACTGCATTGCAGATGAACTGGCTAGGGAGGGAACTACGCAACTATGCATTCATCCGGACAAGGAAGGCATTGGCATTGGCATGTCGATGCCTCATTCCGCCAACTCAACCTAAGCATGCAAGGATTTTGATCCAGCGGCGAGGCGACAACAGCAACCACAGTGCCAAGGCTAAGCTGGCATGACCAGCTCTGGACCCTAAAAGAACGACTCAGCTCATAAAGTTAAAAAGAACAAAAGTCTCAATGATACTGGGGGTACTTACTGGACATTGGCCGAAACTCCGCCAGACTTGGCATCCCATATAATGATTACTGCAGAAGCTGCAGGGACGCAGAAGAGGAAGAAAGCGCAGAGCATCTCCTCTGTCACTACCCAGCTTTAGGCAGATTTGCCACACTAGGGACTATCATTCCTTGAATATTACTTACTGATTTAGAGTTCGCATTTGATGCTGAATAGTTTCAGTATCGCTCTCAAAGAAAGCCTGCTAAACTAAACAGCAATCGACTGTAAGGGTACAACACAAACGAATATGATCCGCGGTCAGAGAACTTAGTAGGAAGTAATAGGCGGTTCATTTACGAAAGTCTGATATTTCGCGATTGTAGGTAGCCAAGTAAGACGTAGTAAGCTATCGAAGATGTCCTTCCAAAATGTCCAAACCTTATACGGGAAAACTGTTTCGAAACACTCAAAAGAAACCAGGTCGGATTGGAAGTACAAAGTGAAAATAGATGAAATAAAATAGTTTTGTATTTTTGTTGTTGTTTAATACAGTTTTAATCATTATTTTAATATGGATTTGATTTTTTCGTGGTTTATTTTTGGCTTACCAACTAATTAATAAATTATTATTTACCCTTAATAACGAATCTTAAACTGTAGAAATCAATCAAAAAGGAAACGATCTATGCAGTTTGTGGCATAAACTTAAACTTATCAAAAGTCAAATACAAAATTCTTAATAAACAGATTTTCTATGTGTTGAAGGCATTAGCTGGCCGCAGCAATAAGAAACACGAAAGTTCTGTGTATTGGGTATTGGGGGAGTATTTTTGGTTAAATGTTTCTCATGTTACGTTCTCATGCAGCGACTTTTGCGCTATGGAGAATGTGGCAATCCTTAGACAAATGTAGTCTCCGCAGGTTGCACTTATAAGAAATCTCAGGGGACATTGGGAGACATATTGTATAGGAGGGGAACAAAACTTTGCGTGTACTTGCCGCTTTGGTTGAGGTTGATAGCGCTAAGAAAACTATTTGATTTGCCGTCAGTTGAAATGATTGTTAGAGAAAAACAAAAATCTTACAACAGATTCAGTGCATGGGAACAAAAAATCATAATTACTAAGTAAAAAATAAGGTTATAAATAAACTAGTTTTAACAAAGCAGGACGACGTTTTTCCTGATTTATCAGCCTGCAACAAAGCCTTGGATTCTGCTGTAGGCGTTTTGCGAATTAACGCTCGCAGTCTCTCACTTTTGAAGTGGGTTTCTACCAATAGTACAGCTTTTGCTTGGTATGCTTATATTGTTATCTTGTTTAGAATATCGCATTTAATTTAAAATAGTGTTGCTGATACGATTACAAATATTTACAGTTTTGCATTTTGCAGAGTAGTTATGTATAGTTTCAACAAACAATGCTTCTTTCTGTTTTGTTCTTTATAAGCCACTTGGACTCTTGCACTGCTTTCATTTTGCAAAGAACTTTTAAGACAAGTGTGTATGTAGTACGTGTATGTGCTTAAAATATGTATGTACGTGTTATAAAATTATGACAACTTTACGTTGATTTAGTAGTTCAAATTTGGGTAGACAAGACTAACGTGCAGAGTTTCGTTAATCATTATTTATCTTTGTTTCTTTTCATTTTTACAACAAAATATAATGTGAATAATTGTGTGATCTTTTTTGTAATGTTTGTATTTTTGTTACATTTGTAGTAATCCAATCCAATCCAATCCAATTATTTGATACACATATTTGTAATCTTTGCTGCCTGCTTTGCGGTTTTCCTCTCATTATTAGCTTTCACAGAGTTCTGCCTGCCTTTACAAATTACATGACTTATTATGTTTGCCTGCACAATGCATTTATCACATATGTATTTCATCTTCTCTTTCGGTTCCACACGCTGCATATAAGCGCGGTACACTTTTCTGTTCACGCTATTTACCCTTCCTTGCTAACATTTTGGGGGTCTTTCTTATGTATGTATGTAGAGTATCCTTATACTGTTGCCTTCAAATGGCTCAAATTTTACTTCTATGGATTAAAGTATTTTTTGAAGCCAATATTCATATCATTTGTTTGTTCATAATATTTTTTTTTGTTGCTTTATTCCTATTATTGCTGCGCTAGTAGCTTGGATTAAACAAGAAATACGATTTTCGATAAAGCAAGAACCCGAATGTTACGGGCAGCAGAATTCTAAAAACCTTTTTACAGCTTCTGTTAACAGCAGGCGGTCCATTAATGCCACTACTGTTAACTCACACGCAAGTTTTTGATTGTATTGGTGAATATCTTTGAAGGAGAGTTATTACGTGTTTGTCTGTGGGTGTATGGGTGTGTGTGTATGGGTGTGTGTGTGTTTAACAAATATCACAATCAAGAAATCAACAAAATGGCGGCCGTAGGTGCTGCTACCTTGACACGGAGGCAACAATCATTGCAACCTCAACAGCAGTTGCCCAACAGCGAGCGCCGTTTTACAGAGACTCTGCAAACCAGGCCAGGTGCAGGCAATATCTAACCACCTGTATCTTTTGGTTATGATTAAATGTTGCCTTATGGCCTGGACGCATCTCGCGGCCCCAAAATCTGAATCATTCGCTGTAACAACTGCACTTGTTGATACTGCTAATGTTGTTGGTGTTGTTCTTGTTTTTGTTCTAATGATGATGCTGCCTGTCTGGCGTCACTTTTATGCGAGCTTGTCTCGTCTCTCGCGTGCCCCCGTTTTCTTTTCTGCTACAGTGCGCGACAACTACAGAAAAGACTAGGTTAATACTACTTTACGCTATTTTCACTTTCCGAGACAAATACGCTGGACAACTACCAGTTTCCAGGGCCCAAGCCTAGGGGCAGCTTTCATTAAAAATTACAAAAATAAACTAACAATCGCTAGAGTTGACGCCGTGCTGCTACTTAAGACATGGGCCCATTTGTGTTGGCTGATGCGGTGGCATTGGCTGCAAGTTGCTGTGGCACTGGGGCGGCGGCTGCCACTCCGTTGGTGGAGGATGCAAGGGATGCCTCTGTGCCGCCGCTGCTCTCGCCGATAACAGCGCTGCCAACTATGGACGCCGTCATTGCTACAGGTGCAGATGCTGGTGCTGGACTGGTGGCTGACACTGCATTCGTGGGAGGTCCTGTTGCTGCGCTTATGGGTGGCGCTTGTATGGCTGGCGTGGCTGGCGGCGCTCCAACCGCGGCGGGCTGTTGGGTGGCCGCTATTTGTAGCTGCATCTGCAGCTGCTGCAATGTCTCCTGTGAGATGTTTGACTTCAGTATGTTGTTCTCTAGCTCCAGTTTGTTGATCTTATCCATTAACTCGGAAATGCGTTCCTTTAATACCTCGACTTCCTCACGCACTGCGATCATAAGATGCGATTTGACCAGATCCTGCAAAAGATTAAAGAGAAAAAATCATTACAAATTATTAGCCAGCAGAACACTTCAGCAGCTTAAATGGTAACACTTTATAATTAATTGTCCCTCATTATTTGAATAGGCTCTGGGACATCCCATAGTTGTAGCTGCTTAAAATATTTATCTGAAGTAAAGGGGACTGATTTATACAAGTACATATGATATGGTTAGCACAACATTTAGCAAAACCGGCTGAACTCTAAAATGCGATTATGGTAAAAAGAAGTCGAGCCAATCGAATTTTTTCTCAATCAATATGGGCCAATTTCCAAAGAATACGAGTAGAGATAGTTATGTAAAAGTCTGAAGACCTATTTACATACCAATGGAAATACATACGTGGATGTAGAAAATTAATAACCGAATAATAATACGGAGATCAGAGATTCAGAGATATTTTCTGCTTTAATTAAATAGCTAGGCTATTATTGGAGCAAACAAGTCGATATCGTGAACATAAAGGCAGTCGCGCACTTTTTGTACTTAGTCGTGTCAACCCAACTCACTATAAATTATACAGATGTATATACATATGTATATATATTTTTCATTTATATACATATGTATAGTAATATGTATATTCATACATATATAAGTATGATGAGGCGGCCACTATACATACACATGTATGTACATATATAAAGACAATTTAAAACTGAAATCAGTAAACGTAATTTTAAGCAATTCGATTCGCAAGTATCAAAAAATAAGTAAACAGCTACAAAAGCAGACTGGAACCGGTTAGAGCGGGTTTGCGCTTTTGCGTTAATATTGTTTTTTTGTTTTTTGCAGAAGCAAAATTAGTCCTAATCAAAACGAAGCAAACAAAACGAACGAGAATGAAAACAAAATGGAAAAATACATACATGTACGTGTGTGTACACATATTTATTATGTAATACATACATACATTTGTTCATAACATATTTTTAGCATATTTGTTTTGCCCTAACTGAGAAGCATAAAGATACATATGTGAGTATGTAGAGATACTTATAGATGAAATTACTTATATAAGCAATCAAAGGGAGTGAACAACATTTTCGTCGGCAATTAAACGGAGCTCTTTGACAATCCCAATGGTATTCATTAACTGTTCCTTTTATTGCATATACTTTTCACTGCACATAAAGTATAAGGCAATGGCATTCAAGCAACAGATCTCACGTTTTTCAAATGGGGCTGAGCAGTAAGGTTCTCTCAGAGCAGCCGCAGCAGCCATGCCCAGTGTCAGGGTTGCTCTTTTCAGATCCAAACAACAAACAACAAACATGACGGTGGCGGCAGTGCATGGATGTCTCCGATGCACTTGTCTCACAGGGCGAGGCCTACCTGGGCGGGAGCCCATTTATATGACTAATGAACACAACTTGAACATTTGTATGCCCCTTTTTGTGACCATTTACAATGGTACGTACATATTTGTTTGAAAAATGTTTTCTCTCGACTAGCCTCTATGCGCCTATGCAAAGGTAAAATAAATTGGCACAAAAATCAATAAAATAGCATTCAGAGCCGCAAATAGTCTACATAGTGTACATGTGTATGTACAGGCCTTAAACTTATGGTGACGGCAGTTGAAGATACATACTTTTGCATTTGGCACCATGACGTAGCAGGGGCTATCGTAACCCTTTTGCCAGATTTCATAGAGCCAGTTTTCAGGCTGGCGTATTGCCATTGTGCCCATCATTTTTTTTTTATGTGTTCGATAACTTTTGAGCACTTTCAGACAATTTTCTTCTTTGCAACACGGTTGTCGGTTACTTAAAAGTTCAAATATTAACACTTAATTATATCACAGATTTTTATACACTTCTTGTGCTTTTGTTGCACGTGCTTAACGTTTTAATATTTATATTAAAATTTTGTATTCAATTTTAATGCTTGAGTAGCTTTTACACTTTGCTGCGATTTTGTGGTTAAAGCTTTTAATTTAATTTCTTTTTAGCTTTTTACTATTTTTTGTTTGCCGAGCTTTTTAGAATGTTAAATTACGTTCTCTCAGTGTTTTTTAAAAGTTTCATGTATATTGCTGAGTTTTATTTTGTCTATTTTTCAAAATGAAAATTTCCCATATAAATGTGCAATTAACTTTTTTTTAGCCTTTAGGGAATTGCATACGTTTTGAAGCGATATATGTTCACTGTGGCGTGTTATAGTGGCGACTGAACGTCTACACTCAATTAGAGCTGGTTTTATACCTAATGTCCGTCTATTGAGCGGAAGAGAGTGTCTGTGTGCCTGCGTGCACAGACGGCTGAGTCAATGAGAGCGCTGTGTATCTGTATCTGTCAGATACAGCGCTATACAGTGCTTTAGCACATTCGCTCTCTCAAAATCGCCATATTGTGCGCTGAGAAGCTGAGCACAATTCCTACGTATGTGTATGTATCCCAAATATATTATACTATATGTACTATCGGTTGTAAGGGAGTAGGAGAGAGCCTCTCTGCGGCGGCTCTCTGTTTGTTTTGACGCGTTTGCCCAGAAGAGGACAATTTCTCTCCACTCTTCTGCTTTCAATTAACACATTTTTCTATTTATTTACATTCCTTTTTTAAACTTTGGTAACGAGAAAAACAATTCTTAATTGGGAGACATCCCCAGCCCCGAACTATGTACATACATGTGTTTTCGATCAAAATACACATAACTTATAAATGTAGTCATGTATGTACATACATATGTACATATATTCATGCATTTGTAAATATGTACACTCTACATAAATAAGTACTACATGATCACACACACACACACACACACACACATTCACATGTACATGAATGTGTATGGAGTGTTATCGCATCAATATCAGCGCTCAAGAAAACAAACACAATCAAATTTTTATACTTTTTCGTTTTTCTGAATTCGTTTTTTTCTGCGACGCAAAAACTTTACGACTTTTCTGTTTATTATGATGTCGCATTCGCCCGTATTTTTCCTTCACACCTTTTTCGCTCAGCGTTCTTTAAGATACCATACCAATACAGAGACATATTTATGTATGTACACACATACATATATGGTATCCGGGTGGTGGTGGCTCAGGATTATTGCTCATCATGCTATTCCTTAAAATTTCGACAATTCTGCACTACTGTGGCATGCCGGACGTTAGTGCATAGTAACAAACACCTAAACTTATATATGTACTTATGTATGTATATATTTATTTGTATACAGACATCTATCAACATACATATATGTATATGTATTAGTAATCCGGCAATAAATATGTCCATACATACTATAAAAACACACGTACACATTGAAGACATAAACGACATCTATCCATATTTCAAGGGCTTCAAAAATTTGCAAAACAATTTGTAGATACACAACAACAACAACAAAAACCAACAACTGAATTGGAAACGCAGAGCGCATTAAGTACACGCGCATGGCAAAGAAGCGTTGGACAGATTTTGACATACGCTTATGTATGTCTGTATGTATGCACATACTAATCTGCATATTGATGATTAATAATAAGAAAAAAACAAGTGAGAATACACTGTACGCAAAAAACTTCCGGAGCTGAGTTATGTGCGTCCTATCAGAACCAAGAACCAAGAAGTTGAAGAGCGACCTCCCTCTTACAGTTCGTGGACGGAGTATTGGAGTGAAATTAGTTCGCTAATAACTTTTCTTAGAATTCACCGATTTGGATGAACTTTTAAACAACCATAAACTCATTTTGCAAAGTATGATTTTTAAAAATAAACGTATTGCTTAGGGACTAAGAAAAGAGTCTAAATACCATAATTAATCAGCCGTTTCCGAAATCCATTCGTTCTTCCACACTGCATAGTGCCTAGACCGATTTCTGTCCGTCGGACATTTTCGACTGCCTTCTTGCCTGTTACATACTTTGCACAAGCCTAATATACCATTTCTTCATATTAATTAATTAATTAATTTCTCGTTAAACTTATTCGTTAATTAATCAGTTTATTTAAATTCATCATTAGGCGTACAAGATTCTATTTAAAAGTAACCTCAAGCTTCCCTTAAAACTGTAATATTTGTTCACCACCTCACCATCGCTCATTATTAAATAGAATCTTTTAAAATGATCCAACTATACGATGGCGATACGGTAACAATGTGTTCCGTAATAGGTTATCCCCGGGGAGCAGGACATACTCGTACCACATCCACCACAACCGCAACCAGTCCATGAGCCCCACACCATTGTTCACTTAACAGTGAATGAATCGTTAACCAATTCACATATAGTATCGCAGCACACGCGGAACGTATTCAATAGCGTGTGCAAAATCATTATTACTTTTTAGTTTTTTATTTTTGTGTTCTGTTTGATTTACAAACAACAACAGCAGAACGAGCGGAAAATTACTGCATTTCACGCAGGGAACACATGCAGGTGGGTACATCTGGGCCGAACTTAGGGGCGGGGTGTTGCGGGCTGCATTTGCATTGCACTGCACTGTAGTCTAGATACAAACACATTGCTTACTAATTGTTTTTGTTTGGCGCGTGTTGCCGGCAGCTTTCGTTCAACTTTCAGTTTTCCGAATTTGTTTTTAAATTCGATGTTACGATAGGGTTTTATATCAAAGGTATCGGCAACTATATAATACTTGTAGGTTGTGGAAAGCGATTTGCTATGTATTTCCGAAAACCAGCGTCTGCCAGATGAACAGGCAGAGCATTTTTGTTCTGTATTTGATAATCGTATTATGATACAAAGCCGACGTCTCAAAAAAACACACCACACACATACAAATGCATGTATGCTGTCATTCTTATTCCGAAAATACTTGAGCTGCGGTGTTAAATAAATTAGCAGACGAGGTAGAAAAAACAAACAGCCTCCAAGACAAACTTGTAATAGCATCTATCTGTTTACCTGTTCTGCGCCTCGGCTGCTGCTCCGATTCCTAGACGACGGTGTAAACAAATGTGCTAATCGTTTATTGTAGGTACGCCGTTGTTGTTCATCA